AAATCAATCAAAGTTAGCAATTATAACTCAATCTATAAAAAGGAATACATGTTTGCATATGTCACGTTATTAATTTACTTAATCTTCCTAACTACAAAATTGTGCAACTACTAACGTATACCCTATTGTTACAAATGTTTGACAAGCATGAGGATTGCTGTTGGGGCACCCCATGCACGCTTGTGTTTTCATATGCACTACAAAAAAAAAATACAAACAAGATAGGGATCTAGCTGGTATCGCAAAAACATATAAATAAAATACAACATAGTATAATACTGTTACAGCCCTTCAATCGCTCAACACTTCATGGTTACACTCACAGATTAGTTGTATAAAGCAAGCCCTCATGGTGCCCCCCCTGTGGTATGGGGGGCATGTCCTACTGCTGGTGATAGCTCCAATGTGGATCCCAGGAAGGTCACACACTCCAAATGGTATGGATGTAGAAAATATTTATTGGCATATTGTGCTAAAATAATATTGTTAAAAGAGGGTCCTATGCGTTTCGTTCCCGTCAGGAAACCTCCTCATAAAGATGCAATAAAATACACTAAAATGTACCAACAAGCCTAATACTTCACATGCCATTTTCCTATTAAACTGTCTAATATTGCTTAACATTTCCTATTAAACTGTCTAATATTGCTTAACATTTATGGGGATATTTTTCCTATAATTTTAGAACACTTGCCCTTATATGTTTAATTATTCTAAGTTAATCCACATCCCTTTCATTTTTTAGTGTACGGAAATTGCATGTTGATGTGTGATTCAGGGCATTGTGTATTTAGATCATAATTATTTTTATTTTACAAAATTAAAATGAGGCTAAACTAATTTAACTATTTCACAATCTAAATGTTAAACTTTTGGTTCCTTTTGAACTGATGTGCTACATATATTATTCCAACATTTAACCCCTATGCTTCTATCTCCGGCTGGTTTGAATCTAAGGAGCCTCATAACTACTTCAAATAACTTACCAAATCTATATCTACATTGAGTCCTATGGGGGTTAAAGTTTGCAATTTGTGGATCCAGAATGTTTCTCTCTGTGCCAGTTTCTTATCCCTATTGCCCCCCCTCCAATGTGGTGAGATTCGCTCTATGCCCACACAGGTTCGGTCTTTTAATTTAAAGGCTGGGCATGAATTACAGTGAACTGGTACTGAGTGAGATATTAGCCCTTTTTGATAATGTTCTAACTTTGAAAGCTCTTTTAGTGCGGCCTACGTACTGCTTGCCACACGGACACTGCAGTAAATATACTACATAGTCTGTGAGGCAGCCAATACTGGCCTTAATGGGAAAAGTCTCACCTGTTGCTTTACTGGCAAATTGAGAGCTTTTACCTAAAGTTGTTGTTAGAAATTCTTTGCATTTATTGCACCCTTTAAAGCCCTTATCTCCTTCATTTGGTTTTTCCTTTTGTTTTATGGCATAACTAAGGGCCAAAAAATTCTTTCAATTTTTATTTTTCTTAAAAATGAATGTTGTTTTTTTTGGTAATGTTTCTCCTAATATCAGGTCCTCTAATAAAATGGGCCAATATTTTTGTAAACTTTTTTTAATCTTCCAATAGTCTGTATTGTATTATGAATGCACTACAAAATTGATCTCACATCCCATTGGGTTTCGGATTATCCATCAATAATTCATTCCTATCTTTACCTGACATAACTCGAATTACTCTTTCAAGTGTATTCTTACTATAACCCTTCTTGACCAGTTTATTTTTACATATGCTGTGCCTTTTGTGTAAAGTTACGTCTTACTCTTGTTAGCTGTCCCTTCGCTATCCCTTTCAACCACGGTTGATGGTGACAGCTTTTTTTGTGGACATAACTGTTCCCATCTGTGGGTTAAAAAAAGCATTTTGTTTTTATTTCTCCCTCCTCACAAAATAAAGTAATATCCAAAAAAATAATTTCCTTTTTGTTCCAAATTGGTGAAAACCTCAGATTGTAATTGTTTAAGGGCCCCGTCCAAATGATCAAAACGTCATCTATAAATCTCCGCCATAGCACCAGGTTTCCCACCCAGTCATAACCAGACCATACATAGAGATCCTCCCATCTCCTCAGTAGATATTGGCATAACTGGAGGCAAACCTGGTGCCGATGGCAGTCCCAGTGGTCTGCAATTAAAAACACCCTTCAAAGAAAAAATAATTATGCTCCAAAATTGTGGCGGAACAGACCTCGCCACGTGTTCTTGGAGGGGGCTGCTTGCCCGCCACCTACCTTCTGACTATGGCCCTGGGATATATGGCATTTGAAAACACTATTTGTGCCCTGTGACAAAACTGGAGATTGTGCACAAATATGACTATTGTCCATATTTTTTATGATTCCCTTCGTTTGTTGCACTGTTCCCCATGTGTTTCATCTGTTGGTTCGGCTGGATAGACTACCAGACAAACTGTGGAGTTACTGGGTGGCCACCATTTCATGTATCAGAGGCACATAGTGAGAACAATCGATGAATCACATGGTGGAGACAATGGATACAAGGTGCCATCTCGCCGGTATTTGGTGCACAAAGACATTGTGCAGTAGTTTTAAACTATACAACAGGGGACACATTATGCAGTAATTATTTTTCATATAGCCTGTATATGTTCTGCGGAATCTGCATTAAACTGTATCTTCCAAACTACTGAACGGATCTGGGTGAATTTTGGATATGTGGTTCACCCAGATCCCCCAGTACCGAGGATTTTTATGGGGTTACTGCATGTTTTGGGCTCCCTGTGATATGTTTTATAATACTTTATTTCTCGGCCTGCGATAATTATATTAACCATTGTGTTCAGTAATCATATCACAGGCAGAAGGGAGGATTTTGTGTGGGAGTGTCTGTGTGTATTGTACGGATTGATTGGTTGTATTTCAAAACCCTGTGGGCAGTACTATGTTTGTGGATTGTGAATAAAAGAGGCTGGATGTGCCAGTACAGTCAGTTCTGCTTGACCTCAAAACGAAGTGTCGTCTCGTTATTGGGGGAATTGGATTGTATGCTGATTGCCAGGAGTGTAAGCTGATTGTATGCTTTTCCTGTTCAGCTGCTTACAGCATTCATATACTTGAGAGCATCTGTATGCTTCTCCTGTTCGGTGGTTGTGGTGTCTGCTGCAGTGCTTGGAGTCCTCAGGAAGCGCTTGGAGCATCCTTCAACGGAGGTACCCAGTCGGGGTGCCAGGTGATCCGTTACAAAAATAAATTTTACTGCCCTCAGAATGAATGTTTTCATGTTACCTTAACCTTTACTACAACCCTACCCATAAGCTTACCCTTAACCCTAACCCTAGTAGGGTTAGGGGTAGGGGTTTGGGGTAGGATTAGGGTTAGAGTAAGGGTAGAGGTAGGCTTAGGAGTAGGGTTAGGGTCAGGGGTAGAGTTAGGGTTAAGGGTAGGGTAAGCGTTAGGATTAGGGTTAGGGGTAGAGGTAGGGTTGGGGGTTAGGGTTAGGGAATTTCCAAAGTCCTGGATTTTGGAAGTCCTGAATTTCAGAAGTGCTGAATTGCCAAAGGACCCAATTTCGGAAGTGCTGAATTGCCGAAGTCACGAATTTCGGAAGTGCCAAACCGAAGTGCCGAATTGCCAAAGTCCCGAATTTCGGAAGTGCCAAGCCGAACCAAAATTTTTTGCCCATGCACATCCCTAAAATCCAAAAGCATTCACATTGTTTAAGAAATTTATCATAGTCACCTCTTCTTTGGTCACGTTTGACCAATTCCAGAGCACAGAAGCAAAGTCCATTAGAATCACCCGAATGGAATTCCTTCAGGTGACTGGAGATGGGGGTTTCAAGGCTTTTTTTTGGTGAACGTACATGTTCTTTGATCCTTTCTTTGAAGGGTCGAAAGATTTTTCCAACATACTTCATGTCACACTCACAGGTGAGTAAATATACCAATCCTGCAGTGTTGTAATTAAAGAATGAATTCATTTTGAATGAAACGGTATTATCCCCGCTTACAGGATATACGGCGAGTATCCTCTTCTATGTGGTGGCAGACGGCCAGGTGGGAGATAAAAAGGGAAACAATAATGGTGCAGTATGTTCCACACGTGCAATAAAAGATATTAAAATATAATAGATACACTCACATTCGGTAGAGCTTCTGCTAGCTCTAGTTTGTTAGGCGTACAGCGGTATAATCCCCGCTTATAGGATATAGGATGAGTAATCTTGACGGGAGTATCAGGAGCTTGGAGAGAAGATAAAACAGCGATAGTGCTCTCAATAAAATATTGGTGGTGTATAAAATATACTCACAGTGTATAGGGCAGGCTACCTGCTCTATGTTAAAAGCGTAGGTGGTATAATCCCCACCTAGGATTCTTTGGAGTATAATACCAGGAAATAAAAACGTTTGTCTATCTATTCCTAAGGACATTAGTGGGAGTCCTTGCCTGGGACTGCTGCCTTTTCGATTAGCGCTGACTCTACTCTCTGTTTTGTACACATATAGGCATACATACTGAGACATACACACATAAACAGACACACAGACATATATAGTGACAGACAGACACATACTAACATACATACATACTGACAGACAGACACACAGAGCACAATTCCCAGCCACCCTCCTGTTTCTGGGGCTGATGGGAGTCGGTGCGGCTCTCCCTCACTGCCTGGCTCTCCTCCTGCGCGGAGTGTGCTGGGATAAACTGACCCCTTCCTCCCAGCAGCACTGGCATTGCAGCTGCGTTTTGTTTGTTTTTTAAAGCGGCCCGGTCGCGCTATTACACGGCCACAGCGCTGACGGGGCCCCTGATGATATAGGGCCCCGTCAGCGTGCGGCCGTCACGGTTGTCACCCCCTGATGGCGGCCCTGTCTGTCTGTTTCTGTGGGGGCGAGACGCGTTGGGGCGCAGTAGTTGGTGTATTTACTAGATTGTAAGCTCCCTGGCAGAATCCCGTTACTATAATATTACTATATGTTCCTTGTCAGTATTCCCCCTATTGTACAGCACTGCAGAATATGTTGGTGCTAATATTAACACATAATAAAACTCTCTCAATCAGACTGAGAGCTGGGAAGACTGTCTGCATATGTTAATAAAGTTTGAAAATACAAAGTAGAGCTGTAAACATTAGAGAACTCTGCCCACCTGGGGCTCCAGCAGGTGGAATGTGATTGGAACCTGGACAACCTGGAGTGGGCGGGGCTAGAGTCATGTGACCCCCCACAAGAGCACGTGGACACCAAGTCATGTGAGTAACCAGGAAATGATCCAATTGCTGAGAGTGTTATACAGAGAGAGACCCAGTGTGTGTGTTATACAGAGAGAGAGAGACCCAGAGAGTGTTATACAGAGAGAGAGAGAGAGAGAGACCCAGAGACCCAGAGTGTGTTATACAGAGAGAGAGAGAGAGAGAGAGACCCAGAGTGTGTTATACAGAGAGAGAGAGACCCAGAGAGTGTTATACAGAGAGAGAGAGAGACCCAGAGTGTGTTATACAGAGAGAGAGCCAGAGTGTGTTATACAGAGAGAGACCCAGAGAGTGTTATACAGAGAGAGAGCCAGAGTGTGTTATACAGAGAGAGAGAGAGACCCAGAGAGTGTTATACAGAGAGAGAGACCCAGAGTGTGTTATACAGAGAGAGAGAGACCCAGAGAGTGTTATACAGAGAGAGAGACCCAGAGTGTGTTATACAGAGAGAGAGAGAGACCCAGAGAGTGTTATACAGAGAGAGAGCCAGAGTGTGTTATACAGAGAGAGAGAGAGACCCAGAGAGTGTTATACAGAG